CTGCGAAAATTTAGTATTTGAAATAAAGTTCCAAACCCTAAAGCTAGCCACTTCTTACTTCACTTGCTGAACGCAAAGCTGTTTTGCTTAGTACATGACTGACTTTTCATAATTCACTTGAGGAAACAGACCAACCAAGCCGAATTCTTGACTAACAAAACCTGTGCAATTTCAGGAATTGCACACATCTAAACTCAGCATAGATTACGCCACTGACTCACATGCTTCCCCTGTCAAACTTGAGTCTCTTAAAAGTTATCAGGATACGCCAAGAAGGAAGTCTTAATTTAGTTTTACCTGCTTCATGGCCAGTGGTTTTATCCCACTGAAATGCAAACTTTTTAGATTGTCCTTCTTATCTGTTTTGAACTTGCATTTTTCTGTGTGTTCCTATTTTTCTGTTTAGTGAATTTGATAAGTGGTAACAGAAGACATGAGATATTTGGGGACGGGACTCTCCATCAAAATAGTGAATTTTGGCTCCTCAGTATCCTCAATACTAACTTGCTTTCATTGTATATGACATGATATATTCACTTTCAAACCACACCAATTTCAACGGGGAAAATAAAAAAAAAAAGAGGACCTGTGTGTGAAATGTTTAGCTAGGTTTAATTTCCTTCCTGTGTCTGCTGAATTTTTACAACATAATGAAAAAATACGAAACACAAGTGAAGGAAAAGAGATGACCCAATCTCACCATCACTCCATGAACCAGAGAGATTTTGTTATGTGACAATATGATCATCATCACATGCGAGAGCTTTTATCCACGAGTATGAAATAACTGTGTTATCCTACCACCTTGACAAATTCCATTTTTATTACATTTTCCTCAGAAACCAAAAAGAATAGTGTAAAAAAACCCAAAAAACAACCAACCCAAACCTAAGAGTTTAAGGACCAGCTGCTTCTGCTTAAGCCCAACTCTTTCAGTATTGATGCAGCATAGCTAGGGCATGATGTCATCTGAAGGGCCAGCAGAATATGCCCTGGTTGATCTTAAAAATATGTAGGGGTCTAGCCTCCCCTCTCTCGAGTATGCATAATTCCCATCAGTGGGGAAGGGAGTTGCTCACGTGCAGAAAACAAGATAAAGTAGACTAAATGACCACAGTGGATAGAGAGGTGCATAAGTTCTACTAAAGAAAGAGACAACTATTTTCTTAATATTTACTTGTTCTTGCTATAACATAGCAGCTAGTTTTAAAAATTGAAGAAAAGAAAGAACAGTCTTCTAATCCTTCCTGTTCACTTTTATATGACCCTATGGGGTTGGGAATCATTCCTTTATTCCAGTTCTTCCATTCTCTTTCTCCATCCATTCATCCAGCCTTCCCCTCTTTCCTAGTTCTGTGGTTTGATATGCATGCATGGAGATATTTGTATTGAATATAATTTACTATGTATTTAATAGAAGCTTTTCTTATTTTAAAAGTTGCAGGGAGAAGAAAATAAATGTAATAAAAGCTGCAGCTTATAAGTACAATGCACATGTTCACAGGCACACAGAAAAGAATAATGACATTTATTATCTAGCCAGTCACTTAAGAGGATGGCACAATATATTCTATTCCGAATGCCAAGCAACAATGGAAATCTTAAAGTGATAAAACTCTCTCAATGTCATGGGAACACAATTGTCACTTGTCATTACTGTGCATCTCTCTATTTCTTCATATATCCTAAACTGCCTATTCTTACATAATTCAACACATTTAATAATGTAGAAAATCAATTAATATTTACTGACCTGTCTCTGCTTCTCCGTGATGGGAACGCAGCATTACAGCCAGCCACTGTGCAGACATGCATCTCTTTTAAATGAACATTTCTGTAGTGAAGCTTCACACTGTAGGAACTCTTGAAACTTTTCTTGCACACATAGCAGATCTTGGGGTCTGGGCTGGAGCACATTTCGCCTTCTGGGGAGAACTTCTGAGGGCTGCTGTAGTTGAATGTAGAAGCGAAACTTTCATGAAGGGCAGCCATACTGGCGCTGCCTCCATTGTACAGTCCGTATTGGCTCATGTAGAACATATCATATGTAGGGTCTGTATACTCTTCCTTCACCTTAATGACATCTTGGTTGGAAGAGTCATTGTGGTTTTCATCTGGTCTGTCACTGTGCATCATAGATTTTTCACCAGGTTCATGGAGACGATCGTCACCTTCCATGGATTCCTCACACAATTTGGGCTCTGACGATTCCGACTCATTTTCATAGTCTCTCTCTTGCTCCTGGTCTTCTGATGTCATGCTATCTGCCCTTCTTATGTCTGGTCTGGAAATGCATCTACTTCTGTCACTTTTGGAAAAGTCTTTCACAGACAGACCTGGGCTCATTTCCTCCTGAGAATGGCAGTGATTGTCATGACCAATGTCATTCACCATTGTGCTGCTGTCATTCACCTCTTCGTCTTCATCATCAAACTCATCGGCAGTATCAATAACTTCCTTTTCAATTTTAACTGGCATGCTTGACTTCCTTGGTTTCTTCTTGGGGGCAAGGTCAGCATTAGGCTCCGGGGTGGGCATAAGCACTGAAGGTACTGATGACTCTGAAGGAGGAGGGGGATGCTGCTCCATGCCACTCACTGCTGGTATTATTGGACTGGTAGGGAGTGAGGTTGGAGGACTCACCATCTCTCCAGGAGTAAGTAAATTTCTGTAAAAAGGAGGAACAGGTTGAACAGTCTTTAAAGCCGGGAACACCAGCTGACTGGGAAGAGGGTTCTGTAGTACAGGATCTAGAGGGGGAGTGGTAAACCCCATCGGTGGACGTCCAGGGCTTGTTAAAGTTAGGTTGGATTTTGTACTTGCTATGACCGGAGTGGCGGCACCTGATGTAGCACGAATTAGATCTTTGTCACGGTTATTCCTTAGCATAGGCATGTGGAGGCGGGGATTGGGGTTAGCACTGTGGCGGTTGCGGCTCCTGAGAGAGCTGAAGACCATGTTGCAGCCCTCAATAGTGCACCGGTGCTTGATTTTCAGGTGAACGGCATTGTAGTGGATTTTAAGAGTACCTTTGTCGTAGAAAGTTTTGCCACATGCATTGCAAAACACTCTTCCTTTCCTGGAGGCCGAACCCATTCTCCGCATTCTGTGAATGCGAAACGAGCTTTTAGTGTGTTCTGTTTTCGATAGATCATTCACAGGCGTAGGCGTCTGAACAGGAGAGACGCAGGCTGGCTCAGTTTTGGGCTCAACATTTGTGATGCTGGTTAA